TGCCTAATAGTGCCCATTTTACACAAGAGGATAAGGCATCGCCAGGGCACAAGCCAGTGAAGGACAGGCTAACTCTCTTGTTCTGTAGCAATGCAAGTGGGGATTGCAGACTGAAGCCTCTGCTGGTCGACCATTCTGAAAACCTGAGGGCCTGTAACAACCATCACATGCATAAAACTCAGTTGCCTGTGTTGTGGAGATCAGACAACAAGGCTGGGATAACTAAAGAATATTTCAGCGAGTGGTTTAATGTTGTGTTTGGGCCAAGTGTAAAAAGTTATTTAGAGGAAAAAGACCTGCCTCTGAAGGCCCTCCTGATAATGGACAGTTCCTCAGCTCACAATCCGTGCTTGCAGGACTATGTGTTGCCAGAGTTAGACTTCATGACTGTCAAGTTCCTTCCCCCTTACACGACTTCTCTCATCCAGCCCATGGACCAGCAGATCATCAGTAATTTCAAGAAACTCTACACAAAAGCACTTTTCCAGAGGTGCTTTGAAGTGACTTCTCACACAGAGTTAACTCTGAGAGAGTTTTGGAAAGATCACTTTACTATCTTCCATTGCATAACTCTCATTGACAAAGCCTGGCAGCAAGTTTCCTATAGAACAATGAACTCTGCTTGGAGACACCTGTGGGCAGAAGCAGTGAATGAAAGGGACTTTGAAGACTCTAAGTCTGTGCCTATAGTGGAGGATATTATCTCTCTAGGTAGGTGCATGGGTCTGGATGTGAGTGAAGCTGATGTGAAGGAGTTAGTGGAGGGACACAGGGAAGAGCTGACCACTGAGGAGCTGCAGGAACTCGAGGAGCTGGACCACAAGACAAGAATAAATGCACTCTCTTCAGACTTGGAGGAGGAGGAAATAGAGGAAGCTCCTACTTCTTTAATCAAAGAAATATTTGTCAAATGGATGGATGTCAAAAACTTTGCGGAGAAGTATCACCCCAAGAAAGCTCAAACCATCCATAATAGTGCTCTATGGAATGACCAGACAATGTTATATTTCCGGAACATCCTGAGGAGAAGGCAGAAGCAAAGTTCTGAGGACAGATTTTTAGTCAAATTAAACTTTCTAGGTCCAAGTAGGGAAAAGAGGCAGAAAAAAGATCAAGTCAAAACACCAGAGTTTCAGATTCCTGAAGTATTACCGGAAGAGGAATCCCCCCTTGAAACAAAACCAACTCCTTCTTTTCACTTCTTAGCACCATCCTAGTAGAGATTCAACTCTTCTCAGCAAAGAGGTAAAAAAACAAATGTTTTTATTTCTGCAATCTAATTGTTTATTTTTTTTTTTAGTATATTAAGCAGTTAAGATATTCAGACTTAGGTATGAGCGCCAAGAAACAGATGATAAACAGCATAATCAGACCAACTCTGTGCTATCAGTGCCAGACTTGGATATTATCAAAGACTAACCTACGTAACATTTACACCTGAGAAAAGCTGCCTGCTTAACCATCTGAGACAAAGTTAGAAACAATATTATCAGACAAACTATAGGAACAACACCATGCAGCACATTCATTGAGAAACTGAAGATGAAATGATTTAGCTATCTAGAAGTAATTTAATCAAAATATCCCATTCAACCCATCTGGTTTATAATTAGAATGTATAGTTTTTCCTTCCATTTTAGTGCTGGATAGTTATGCTTGTCAATTACTGTTTGTTACTGAATTTTGCATAGATTATATAGTTACTTAGTTAATCGACAGATTATCCTCATTGCACAGCGGACAAGTCCATAAACGCTCCGATCCCGTCTTCAGTACATCCCCCAGTGTGTGGTGACTAATAACACCAGTTCTATATTGGTTCATTATTCTTATTCGGCAACCTCTATATTGTTTAATTTTGGTGACACTTTTTTTTGACCTGAAGTTCTTGTAGTCCTTTGAATGTTGCCGACTCACCTCATATCCTGAATCATTTTCTCTTCCTGCCTTCTTGAAAGTATGGAGAATGTTGGCCCGGTCCATTGCTTCTCCTGTACCTACCATGGCTCTGCCAGCACGCAAATCTGCTCATTCTTTCCCTCTTACCCCAGAGTGTCCTGGCATCTATATGTGATAGATTATATTTGAGTTGTAACAGACTGTAGAAGTATATATAATTAAATTTAATATAGTAATTTAATATAATATTAAATTAAATATAATACAATGCAATTTATGTATTTCAGCAAAAAGGATTAATTTTTGTGCTTCATTTTATGTTGACTTAACTCTGTAGTAACGCACCTGACGAGATACAGCACAATTTGTCAGGCAGTAAATTGTCCAATGTTTTGTTTGTGTTCACACGATTTTAATTGAATATATTTTAGGTATACTTTTATAAATGATTGTGATTGGATTGGATTGGATTTTTACCCCACCAGGACATCACACAAGCGATAAACACCCGATGACACAAAGTGCCACCATGCGGATGAGGATCACCGTGGAGAGGTCCCAGAAACCGCGTTCAGACATTTGGCCATAATGATGACCTGCCTATATTGCGGCCCCTGGCAAAAGCCAGAGTGGGGCTTCAAATAACAAAAAATAACGTCCTAAGAAGGACGAAAAGTTGAATGATTGTGATAATCAGATTATTTGATTTACTTTTGGGATATTTAAAGTGATCTGGGGTGTTAATAGTTTGCTTTATAATATATTATTACCTCATACATAATTTTTGTTCTTCTAACGTAGTGTCAAATCCCTTCCCTTAGTCCTCTAGAGCTGTCTAACATGTTTTCTATTGTCACAGGCTTATAGCTCATTTGAAGATGGATTTAGATCTGACATTATAGCATTTGGAACATTCTTGTAAGCACTCTCCCCTATCTTCAGCAGCCAGTACAGAGTTTCAGTGCTTATGATACCAGTAGTGGTATGTCCCTTGCTTTTTTTTCTGAGCACTGAGTGTCAGACTGATCCTCTGGTCACTCCTCGATGTACATTCTCTTAGGACAGTGATGTTCTTTTAGTGCCTTTGTACTGTTCACTCTCTCCCAAAGGGCCTTGACATGATGTTCTTTTAGTGCCTCTGTACTGTTCACTGTAACTACATGTACACAAAATTCAAGATAGGTTATCAGCCATGTTGCACCTGTGGAAAGGTGCCCCAGACAGCAGAGCATGTACTCCAGGACTGCACCGAATTTGACACATAAAGGCAAACCTTTTGGCCAGAAAGAACAACAGTGGAACGTAAACTCTATGGACCACTGAATGAATTAAGAACAACAGTGAAATTTATACAAGAGACAAAATTGCTGATATAGACAACTTATTTCAGGCGAACAAAAGAAGAAGAAGACTCCCAAAGGGCCTTGACATGATGTTCTTTTAGTGCCTCTGTACTGTTCACTCTCCCCCAAAGGGCCTTGAAATGATGTTCTTTTAGTGCCTCTGTTCTGTTCACTCTCCCCCAAAGGGCCTTGATATGATGTTTTTTTAGTGCCTCTGTTCTGTTCACTCACTCCCAAAGGGCCTTGAAATGATGTTCTTTTAGTGCCTCTGTTCTGTTCACTCTCTCCCAAAGGGCCTTGAAATGATGTTCTTTTAGTGCCTCTGTTCTGTTTACTTGCTCCCAAAGGGCCTTGATATGATGTTCTTTTAGTGCCTCTGTACTGTTCACACTCTCCCAAAGGGCCTTGACATGATGTTCTTTTAGTGCCTCTACACTATTCACTCGCTCCCAAAGGGCCTTGACATGATGTTCTTTTAGTGCCTCTGTACTGTTCACTCGCTCCCAAAGGGCCTTGATATGATGTTCTTTTAGTGCCTCTACACTGTTCACTCGCTCTCAAAGGGCCTTGACATGATGTTCTTTAAGTGCCTCTACACTATTCACTTGCTCACAAAGGGCCTTGACATGATGTTCTTTTTGTGCCTCTGTACTGTTCACTCTCTCCCAAAGGGCCTTGATATGATGTTCTTTTAGTGCCTCTGTACTGTTCACTCGCTCCCAAAGGGCCTTGACATGATGTTCTTTTAGTGCCTCTGTACTGTTCACTCTCTCCCAAAGGGCCTTGACATAATGTTCTTTTAGTGCCTCTGTACTGTTCACTCGCTCCCAAAGGGCCTTGACAACATCTGACATGTCATGAGCAGCTAGTCTTAGATTCATGAAGGAATCTCCTTTCGCGTCCGTACTACTTGCAATCTTGTAAAAACAGTTGATGTAAACACTAGCCAAAGACTACTTTAATTTGGTTAGCCCCCTGATACAACTTGGAAAGGGGCATCCAACAGGTTTGAAAACAAACATTATTTATATTCCTGTGCTATGGAAACTATCCACATGTAAACACTTCAGTAAGTGCTGAAAGAGACTGAGCATCAATGTGTTTGCCCTGTGTTCAGTACTGTTTGTTTTGTTAAATTTATAAAATCAACATCTGTTGCAGAATTCTGAATTGTTGTTTATATTTTCTCTTATCTTTCCTCACAGATGACATAGTTTTACAGCAAATTGCAATTTAGACAAGTTTCACCAGTGCAGACAGTTGCAACATGTTGACCACTTAGATGGGTCTTCACTGCAAAACAGCTGCAACATGTAGATCATTTAAGTACGTCTTACCAGCACAAATAGTTGCAACATGTTGATCATTTAGACAAGTTTACCAGTTGCAACCAGTTGATCATTTAGAAAAGTCTTACAAGTGCAAACAGGTGCAACATGTAAACGGCCTAGACAGTCTTAACAGTGCAAAGAGTTGCACCATCTCAACTACTTAGACAGATCTTAATATTGCAAACATTTGTAATGTGCAGACGACTTAGGCATGTCTTACCAGTCCAAAGAATTGCACTATCTTGACCAGTTAGACAAGACTTGCTAGTACAAACAGTTGCACCACGTTGATCAAAGGAAAGTTTTCAGGCAGTCTATTGGAGGACTTTTATTAGCAGTTTTTCCTGTGAACCTTTCAGCATTAACTCTGGTAACTTGACTTATCCCTTCAACATGGAGGACAGAGATACTTGCAGGACTCTACACAATGCTGCCATGTATGGAGATGCCTGACACTGTCAAACACTGCCTGAACACTGGAAGCTCTAAGTACATCAACCTCCATGATGGCTTTGGTATGACTCCAGCAATGCTGGCTGCTAGGTCACACGGAGACCGTGCTGAGTGTTTGAAGCTGCTGCTGAATGCGGGTGCTGATGTTAACGCCAAGGACATACATGGTATGACACTTTTATCACTTGCTGCTGGCAGAGGTCAGGCTGGCTGTGTGCAAGTGCTGCTGGATGCTGCTGGAACTCAGCATGTCAACTGTCTAGACATCGCAGGTCAGACACCACTAATGCTGGCTGCACGATCACTAGGAGACAATGTTGAATGCTTGGAGTTACTCCTAAATGCAGGAGCTAAAATTGACACATTCGACATGTACGGTTCTACAGCACTCCTTTATGCCGCAGAAAGTGGAAATGCCAGATGTATGCAAGCTCTGCTGTATGCTGGTGCTTCCAAACATGTGAACACTTCCAACCATCAGGATGAGACAGCGATAATGTTAGCAGCTAGGGCCAAGCACAACAATGTTGAGTGTGTCAAGTTGCTTCTTGATGCTGGGGCCGATATTCACACACTAGACAAGTTTGGTTCTACGGTGCTGGCCTTTGCTGCACAAAGTGGGAATGTTGATTGTCTACAGCAGTTACTTGATGCTGGAGCATATAAGTCCATCAACTGTTGTAATCTGCAAGGTGAAACATTGCTCATGTTAGCTTCCAGGTCTTTAGGGGATAATGTCAGATGTGTGGAAAGGCTGTTGAGTCTGGGACTTAGTGTCCATGGACAAGATAGTGAAGGGCGTACAGCACTGAGTCTTGCTGCACTTGAGGGAAACAGTCAGTGTGTCGTGGCTTTACTGGCTGCAGGCAGTGATCAGTATGTCAATTTGCCAGACTTTTCATGGTTTGACACCGTTGATGTTGGCAGCTAAAACAATGGGAGATAAAGGGGAGTGCTTAAAGATACTGTTAAGTGCAGGTGCACATTTGGATGTGGTTGATGATGGTGGAAATACAGCACTGGCACACACTGGCAAATTTGGGAATGTGAAATGTTTGCAAGCCTTACTTGATGTTGGCTGTGGGAGACTTGTCAATGCTGCCAACAAGTATGGGCAGACAGCTTTGATGATTGCCGCTGGAGCAGATGGAGATTATATTGAGTGTGTGCAGAGGCTTCTAACGGCAGGTGCTGGTTGTAATGTTAAAGACAGTAATGGTTACACAGCTGTAGTGTACGCTGCAGACTGCTCTGGCAAATGTCTGCAGACTTTACTGGATTCCGACAGCCAAATTAATTTCAATAATCCAGTCAAAAATGGTCAGACTTTGCTAATGTTAGCTGCCACCTGCACTACAGATGACACAACTTGCCTGAAGGCACTGCTGAAAGCTGGGGCAGATATCAATGTAACAGATGTCAACGGTTATACAGCTCTAGCACTAGCTGCGGAATGTGGAAACATTGAATGTCTGGAAGTGCTACTCGACACAAATGATAGTCAACATGTCAACATCACAAACATGCTAGGACAGACGCCCTTGATGTTACTAGCAAAGCTTGCAGCAGATTCAGTGGAACACTTGTACAAGTTACTCAAGTGTGGTGCTGATCTCCATGTTACAGACAGTCGGGGTTACACGGCACTTGCTTACGCCGCAGAGAGCGGTAATGTTCGTTGTGTACAAGCTTTGCTGGATGCTGGAGGCTACCAGAATATCAACAGCTCTACCATGACTGGACAAACAGTTCTGATGCTGGCTTCAAGAGCTAGGGGAGATAATGCTGAGTGCTTGGGGAATCTGCTCAAGTTAGGTGCCGATGTTAACATAAAGGACACTAATGGGTGGACTGCAATGGCCCACGTTGCAGCAGCTGGCAATGTAAAATGTGCACGAGTTCTGATCAAAGCTGGTGGCTGGTACCACGTCAGTGCTAGCAACAAAGAAGGCCAGACTGCACTAATGTTAGCAGCTAGGTCCGAGGGAGACAACGTTCAGTGTCTACAAGAACTTCTCAAGGCAGATGCTGACACAGATGTTAAAGACAATCAAGGTTACACAGCACTGGCCCAAGCTGCCGCTGGAGGTAACTCTGCTTGTATGCAGGCTTTACTTGATGTAGGGTGTTCCAAACATGTGAACATCATCAACAACAAGCATCAGACAACACTAATGCTAGCTGCAAAATATCCCAGAGACAAATTTCAGTGTCTACAGAAATTACTGGATGCGGGTGCTGATGTGGGTGTACAAGACGGTGAGGGATACACTGCGCTAGCTTACGCTGCAGAGTGTGGAAACAGTCGCTGTGTGCAGATTTTGCTAGATGCTGGCTGCCACAGTAATGTGAATGCCACCAACACGCACGGCCAGACACCTCTGATGTTGGCTGCTAGATCCAACAGTGATGCTTTTCTGTGTCTGAGGAAACTTCTGACAGCTGGTGCCCAAGTTGACATGAAAGATAATCAAGGTTACACTTCTCTAGCCTACGCTGCTAAAGAGGGAAACCTTGCCTGTGTGCAGACACTGGTTGAAGCTGGTGCCGATGTGAACACCACAGACCAGCATCTGTGCACACCACTGATGTTGACTGGTGGCCACTACCACAGTGCAGCATGCATACGTGTTTTGTTGAAAGCTGGTGCCAATATCAACTTACGTGACTCCACGGGTAGAACTGCTTTAGACCGAGTAGTTCAACAGCCTGGATATATTAGGCTCTTTGAAGCTGTGACAAATCCAAATTAAAGATTTCACATTTCAAACTCAAGACATTTTTAAATATTTGTTTCTTTCAGCACTGTAATTTTGGCTTTTCTGTTTGTTTATTGTGTCATTGCTGTAAATATCTGTACATGTGTAAATATGAAAGACAGTATTTCAATAAGAATTATTTGCTCCTTCTGTGCATTTTCCCCTAGTGAAAAAAGAAAGCTAGCAACATGTGGTCACCTAACTCCCCATGGATCCTTTTTTTTTTTACATTATTCCCCACTCACAATGAACCATTAACCAAAGGTTCGATACCATACTGATAACGAGCCAACAGGAACTAATCCAAGATACTGTGTTCAACCGGGGACCCTGTAGCTACTTTTATGTACCCGAATGTCCGGGGTGGGTGAAGGGTCAAGAACGATTCCTGGAAAAATAGCTTAAATGCAAGCAGTGAATGGGCAGACAAAAGACAGACAGGCTGTTATTGTGACACACATTGTTTGAAACAGGCAGCACTGAAGCCATGTCTCACTGAGTAACAATAATTTAAATGTAAGACAAGCAAGCAATTCAGTTCAACCTGGCAATGGCTGTGGTTGTCAGTTTACAGTATAAATGATATTTGCTACTTTTAGCCAACAACTTAGACATCAGCATTTTCTTGGACTGGGTTTTTTTACTTTCTGTATGACACTTCTCTCAGTCAGATTGTAGACAGTCAGGATCGCAGTGTGCATATGGAGCTAGGTCTCGGTTCAACTCTGGTTTTCTGACTATGATGCAAGCAGTTAAGCTATGAATTGCTGGCTGCATTCACCTCTTTATTGTGCTACGCGTCTTGTATGATAAAAACAAAGCCTGGCTATCAATGAGACATTATTTCCTACTGGTGGTGACTGCAACAGAGCTAAAGGATTTGGTGGGTTGTTTCTATTTTTGGTTAAGGATCTCTTCCATTGCACATCATCTCTATAGGTGTTCCCGACTGCTTCTATAAATCAAACAATTTCAGCACATTGCATTTTAACTCTTCAGTGCTCAAAAACACCCATATCTGCATATACTAGATTTACACACACTATTTACAAAAATGGAATTATGTGACTAGTTTTCCCAGTTTTGAAATTTAGCTTAGGCAACAGCTTATTTTGCTAGGGACTTAAAATTTCCAACTACTGAGGTATTTTTAATATGCACCAAGGTGCTAGCAGTTCATAAGGTTGTAAAGTTAAATGGTTGCTTGCACTTGTTTTCACCATGAAGTGGGCAAGCTAACTTAAAAAAAAATTTTTTTTAAATTTACTAGGATAAAAAAAGGAAAGGTGGTGCAGAACTGATCAGTTGTCCACCTGCTACAAAACACTTTCTTTAACCGAAATATGAAAGAAAAAAGAAATACGATTTCTTGAAAATCATTCATTTATTGGAATCACAAAGCATTTATTATTTCACTGAAAAGTTTATATAACACAGACAGAATAACACAGTTGGTCATCTGCAAAACAAATTATGTAGTAAAGAAACAAACACACTAAATATATGTGCCAACATGTGGTCTGTGTGATGTCGGCCATCTTACGTTCGCAGGAAAAATAACTGGTTGTTTTTATTTTAATGAAACTGGTCAACTCAAGAGTTGCCATCATCATCCTCATCACAGTCCCAGACACTGCATGTCATTGGGCCACCTGTTGCTGCTGACTGATCATCGACCCTTACCTATCAGTCAGATGCAACGGACTTGATCTTTAAAGCTCGTCCATTCAGCCAAATTCTGTTTCACGGGGATCATCACTGGGGCTACAGAGTTCAAGTTTTGTGCGATGCTCAGAACAATCAGTTAGCAGTTGTGTGCAGATACTGAGCCATATGAGTTAAAACTCAGTGCAATAAAGTCAATCTTCTCAACTGTATTCTGTAAACAGACATATGCCAAAACAGTCTTCAACATATGGATGCAGAAGTCAGCAGTTTAACAATTCACCTCAGATATAACATAATGATACAAGTAATTTTCCTATGACTTATAATAATTTTACAACATCTGCATAATAATATTTCTGTGATAACATGCAGAGCAAAAATGTTATATATAGGTAATGACATGCAAGATAATGTTATGAAAACATTTATATAACATCACAGAGGATGTTGTAATAACATTTCTATAAGAACATCCAACAATGTTGAGACAACCATTATGTAATAGAGGACAACATTTTCTCATCATGAATTTCAATAATGTGGGCACAAACAATATATTGCACAATTTATTGCTGGCATATTTGCGATACCTTGTCGGGTGCACAATGCAAAATTTGATCAACATCTATGAAGCATTCAAATGAATCATTTTGACTGAAATATACAAATCACGTAGTCCTTAATGAGGTGTCTGAGAAAGGCTGTATGTGTGAGCAGAAGAGATAAAATCAGGAATGGGGTCATGCGGGATAAAGTCGTAATTTTAAATTACATAGAAAGACAGCAAATCAAATGGTTTGCATACTTTGAGAGAATGCCTTCTGATGCTATACCATTCAAGAGAGAATGCCTTCTGATGCTATACCATTCAAGGCATATACCAAAAGAGGAGAGGGATGTAGAGCAAGAGGTAGACCAAGAACAAATGGAAGGATAACATCAGAGAAACTCAACAGTACCACTATGTGTCTTTGGTCGAAGCAGCCAGAAAAGCATGAAGCAGAACCTTATACCTCCCTCTACACCTGAAACAGTAAAAGAGGACTAAAGGAGAAGAAGACATAGTCCTTGTTGCACTGCCCATCTCATCATGAAAGTGTTTGATTAATCATGGGATCCTTTAGTTGAAATGGAATGATAACAAGTATTTCCACATTATGTAAACTGGAAGATGACACAGTTAACTTAAGGTTTCTAACAAAATATGCAATGCGTGTGCGTGCATATACATGTGTTTTTTATTGTTTTGTTTATATGACCTAACATTTTAGCAAATAAACTGTTTGGCCCACATTATTTAAACTCAGGAAAGTAAACATCAAGTTTCTGCTAGTAGATTCTGCAGTATTTTTTGGGGGTCCTATTGATTTATTTAAATTTAGGTAACAACCATTCATGTCCACATTTTACCAATGACTATAAAGGGGTGCTAATCAGGCTATCAGTCTCGGTTGAGGACATCCCATAATTACCCCGTTCCTGTGCCAGTGTAAACATCGGCTCA